GGTTTCACACAGTTTTCCCAAACGTTTGCATGTATTCGGCTCATGTTGATATGCGGCGGCAGCACCAGGTTGTAACTGCGGGACGATGGGGGCTGTTGGGGATATTATGTAAGCACAGTAACAGCAATTGTTTCGCTTCCTTATCATCAGGAACACGATGGCAACACAGCTAAAATCAGCTGCTATAGCTCGCCGTGAGCACACATTTATTTCTAGCACGCTGGAAACGCTACATGCTGAATACAATTCGATGCCTAATATCCCCAATAGCCCCCAGCGTTCCGTCATAGACAATAGAACACTAATCCCGTAGTATACTTGCGCCGAACACATGCGATCATTTGGGAAAACTGTGTGAAACCGTGTCGTATTCAAAAAACTTTTTTGAAGAACACATACGATTTTCAGGTAAATTAGTGGTGTCATAATTATGATTAACAGTGATTAAGGGAGAATCATAGACGAAAACAAGGTAAAATTTGAATATATTTATTATTTATACACATACTGCCATAGTGACATATTGATAGAATATTTACAAGTTGAAAACTATGCAAAACGTTGTCAAAACGGTGTCATACTCTTCTCTATTATGTACAGTTGTACACTGTAGTGTATGCGGACAAGGTATAACACACTAGTCAGTACACTCACACTGTACACTCACTGTTCTGAGTCTGTACCATAGATATAGAAGAGAATACTCTTCTCTTCTATATCTCTATATCTATATCTATATCTATATCTATATCTATATCTATATCTTCTATATTTCTATTCTCTTCTCTTCTATTCTCTTCTCTTCTCTTCTCTTCTATATCTATACTATAGACTCTGTACTCAGTGACTCACTCTGCAATACTTACTGTACTGTACAGTGTACTCTTAATAAACATCAAACGTGCGACTAATCTCCACTGCGATCCGCACTGCGGATCTGTCTATTTAATCAACTTTGTCTCTCTAGGTCTTCGATATAGTCCCTTGGACTTTGAAGACCAATCTTTATGAAGTAATGAGGTTACATGACACAAAACTCACAACAGCGCAATATGGACAGGGAGCGGACATGTTAGTTTCTGTACGGCTTATGATTGGTCACTTGTTGATAAGTTGATTTACAACGTTCTTTTAGTGTGATATTAGTTTTCTCGATATATAAATTAACAAACAAACAAATAATTAGATAGATAAATGAATAAGTCAGTACATACATTAATAAATGTGGTTGTTTTTGTAAAACCTGTCGTTACGAATTGTGCAATGTTGACTAACAGATGGCGGCACGATAGGCTGTGCCAAAACTGTGTTGAGTATTCTGTGTTGCTGCAACGTGCACTAAGGTCTGAGAAGATAAAATGTAGAGAAATTCTTAGAATGACAACATGAGTACACGTAGTAAATGTCAAAGCTTCCTCGAGTACTTGGCGTGGGTAGCAAGATTATGGGGTATTCTAACAGCTATAGGTATGTATCTGTCACTGTCAGTGACTATGTCTATAGACTCTATACTGTACTATAGTATAGGCCTACAGTATACAAGTTTAGCCACAAGTTCCCATCTCGCTTAACACTACGTGGCGAGAGGAGTTACACTCCTCCGCCGTGTAACTAGTCGGAGAGCCTGGTCGGTTTACAGTATACTATGTCTATACTGTATAGTAATTAGCATTAGTAGTACTAGTATAGACTACAGTATTGCAATTTGCGTTGTTGATTGTTGTGAATTGACTACTTAGTACTACTAGTACTACTGCTCATAGGGTCTATGTCCCCCAGGGTACTGCCAGAACGTACCCTGGTACGGTCCGGTATAAACGCACTGGTAAACTATCTGATATGGTTATGGTGTAGGGAGTAGGCGTAGCCGACTCCCTAGACTCGGTTAGTGGAGTAGGCGAGGTATGGTCGCGGCATATTAGTGTAGTACCCAGGGTACGTTCCGGCAGTACCCTGTGGGACATAGACCCTCTCAGCACTATACTACTAGATAATAATAATAGTTTTTACTGCAGACTGCAGTGCCGAACCTCTTGTTAAATAATCCTGTCGCCCAATCGAATGCTGCACACATCGGCACGTATCACATGATGATCCATAAATAATTTTGCATCACGTTATGGTACAGTGTATGTAATTGTAAATATGTACGTAGGTTTAGGGTACTAGAGCACACATAGGTGCTAGAGCTTAGCTAGAGTTAAGGCTGTAAATGGGTACGTAGTTTCATGGTAATGCAACTGAAGTCATATAGGGTTTTTAAAATATTACATAATCTCGGCCCACAGTATATGACAGAAGGTTTCATGTTAACGTCAGAAGTTCATAGTTTCAATGCAAGGGAATGTGAGATGTCTATTTTTAAACCGAAGGTGGGAAGCAGTGGGAAAAACTTATTTTACTTATACTGCAATTGAATCTTGGAACAGACTACCACAGCAAGTTAGGACAAATTCTGTTTATTCTAGTTTTAAGTATAGTGTTAAGAAATGTCTGATGGAAAAGTAGAAACATTAAGCAGAGGAGTATGATTTTCGCTAAAGAGAATGCGGTTGAAATTAAGGCATAAGAAAAGTTCGTATGTCTTATGAGAATGTACCATTGTATGACCGGTTAAAACTACAAATTTGTATATTTCAATAGTTAGTGCTGATAGTAGTGTAATTGTTAGATTCAAGGCATACCGCAAAACAAGGACCACAATGTAAATAAGTGTGCTAGTCATGCTTTTTGTGTATATATCCTTGGCAGTTATCCAATTTTATGAATTCAGAATTTTATTGTAAAAGTATGCTATGTATTGTATATGATGGATAATTGTCTAAATAAAATTTAAAAATTTAAAAAATTTAAAATAAAATTGCTTTGACTCGGAATGAGTATCGGAATGACATTGAAATAATTTGTATTTGCACAACAACACTGTCTATAGTCCAACAGTCTCCAATCCTATAGTTTAGCACCCCAGATTAGTTCAGCACATATGCGAACTATATATATACCGGGGTCCCAAACTTGTATGGAGCAGTCTAACCTATCGTATCAAGACTCAATAGTCAAGCTAGTAAATCGATTACTGCATGTGTACCTATACCTCGAGCTTGCCTCGGGAAGTTGGGCGCAGACTTCTTGCTATTAAACTGGATTTCTATTTGAACAGGCATGTGGGGAGTAGGAGTAGAAATATGCTATGACAGGCATATTCTAGGAGCGTTTATAGTGTAAGTATTTACATTCATATGACTTCTAGTTTCTCTATGCCAAATATGCTCATTGGAATATAGAAGCGTATATTTTGTTAGCAACATAATCTCACTAGCATATTTGTACTGTACGCACACGTAATTACACATATATCGTATGCTGTGACATTTCTTATTACTTATTTCTCACAGTTTGTATATTGCATCATCAGATCATCGTCAAGGATGGTTTGGGACCCGGCAAATGTGTTTTCGCACATGTGCTAAACTAATCCGGGGTGCTAAACTAAGCTTGGGCCGCATCATCTTCTATTCATCCTAATTTTGCGTCGTAATGGCATGTCAATTTTACAAGAAGTTCAGATGGCTATATATATGCTTACTTATAATTGCTAACTAATTGCTACAATCAATGAGACCTAGGAGTGAACACTTGTATACATGTGTAGATCTGTATTAATATTGGCCCAGGAAATTGTGCATGATCCTGAATATATGTGTGTGTGTGTGGGGGGGGGGTGCGTATGTACCTGCGATTTTCACTTATATGGATGTACTCGATGCAAACATCGACAAATTAGGTCATTGAATATTAAAAACTATGAAAAGTAGCAGTACAATTCGTTTTCTAATGACCCGTGTGCTTGAAATTTCAGATTAGCTGCAATTGTAGTAACAGTTCTGGAAACTACCTTCATAGTGGACGTGTTTTTTACTGTGTATATGAGGTGAGTGGAACTGTCGACAGCGACATCTAGTGACTAAGGATGAAATGATATGGGTAGCTCACGATAAGATCCGTTGCACGATACACCTTTCACAATACGATACGTATAGCGATACATTGAAGAGAAATTACCTGGCAAACTATACACTCTTGAACTCTGCCAATCAACTGAATGCTTCTACAGATCAGTATCGTGTAGCGCTTAGGCCAAAACAAAATATAGGTGTGGTTACCGTTTCCCGACGACCCTATTTTTCCGTCGCGCCCAAACACTTTTATTGTCAATTTCTTTAAAAATTTTTAAAGTAAAAAAAAAAATTAAAAAATTAAATAAATAGAATTGGACAGTTTCCTGGCTGTCAAAAGGCACAACCCCGCACGATCCTTCGGACATGGTTCGTAATATAAAATGTTTCAATAAAAAAATGTTTTCCTACCGTACCTACCCTAATTTTTTTTCGGCATGAAACGGTCAACGCACACCTATATTTTTGTTTTGGCCTTAGCAAACGACTGCTATGGAATTGCAAATTGTGTCTTGTTTTATTTTGTTTTTCGGTGACAACCTACAATCTATCTAAGCTCATACTATACTATACTATACTATCTATTACGTATACTATACTATACTAACTAAACTATCGTAACTATAACTATCTAATACTATATGGCTATACATCACTATACTATACTATACTATACTATACTATACAATACTATAAACTATACTATAGCTATACTATACTATACTATACTATACTATACTATATCTATACATAACTATACTATACTATACATACTATACTAATAATACTATACTATACTATAGCTATACTATACTATACTATACTATACTATATACTATACTATACATACTATAAACTGCATACGATACGATAACGATACGAAACGATACTATAGCAATAACTATACATCTAGTATAATATTATACTAAACAACGTAGAGATTTCATTCCAGGTAGCGTAGATCGAGTAACGTGTGATGCGTGAAGCGAGTCGAACGTATCGATACGCGTCAATGTCTTGTATCGCAATAGATCGATACATAGATTAATTCTTACCGCCCACCCTATCCCTACCCCGCCACCAACCCTACTATGACTCCCCCGTCAATGACAGCGTCAGTTCGTGACAGTCTGCCTGCCGCGTCTCGGCGACGTGTTTCTCTCAACGACAGCTGATCACGTCGTTTGCTCGCAGCACCGACTCACGCGACGCGACGTGTTTGCTTGGCGCGTGGCAACGTGCGGTGGCGTGACACAGAATCATTCTCATACGAGTAGATCGCTGATAACAGATGTGCTACACAGTAATACCTCTCCCGCCCCCGCGCGTCCGTGCGTGCGTGGCGATACTCCGGGTTATGCAAATCCGCTCGTACGGCAGTTTGCAGCTTCCCACCGCCGAGCTTGCGATGATGCAGAAAACGAAAACGTGCTTTGATGCAGTTTTTTTCTCTCTCGAAGGAATGAACAGGTCTTTCTACCCAGAAACTTGGGCTGCTCTATTTTTCATCCGGATAAAAAAAAATTAATGTGATGCTTAATGCAGCCAGCTGTCAGTGCGTCCGGTGGACCAGTCAGCCTGTTTTGCTAGCTTCCGGGGCCTTTAGAGAAACACCTACGTGATCCCTGCATGGGAATTTTCGTGTTTTGTAATCGGTGCTCCAGCTACAACCAGTGTTCTATATACAGGATAGTTATTCTTATTCTAAACTCCATCTTGTGTTACTCATCATTTATATATATGTATATATATATTATATATATATTTATATAACACAAACGTACAAGCGAAAATATGCCGCCGAATTTTGTCGTGCACCGTCTTCCAATTAACCCCCCTGTTGATATAGAAAACAATGAAGATGCCCTTCGTAGACGAATGTCCTTTCTATGGAGGTGGTTCGTAGACGAATGTCCTTTCTATGGAGGTGGTTCGTAGACGAATGTCCTTTCTATGGAGGTGGTTTCACTACATTACTGCCACGCAGGGGAAGTGCCGCAAGCATTCCTTATAGACAGGTGTAGAGCGTTCTATAGAGGTGAGAGCTGGCACACAGGTTTGATTATTGCACCAGGGAGAAATACTCATTTTACATACCAGGGTATGCGGTTATG